AAAAGTTACATTTTCCCTCATAAGTGTAAAATTCATCACTCGGCATAATTTTCTTATCTTGTCATTTTCCTTTCATTGTTTTCTATTCTAAACAACAAATCAGTGACATTCTTCCAAAGAAGTGTTTCAAAATAGAATCCTAGACAAAGATCAGTTTCTTTTCTGTCTTTTCTTGGTGTATGTTTGCTGTTCAGTATCAGATTTTAATGGATGGATGTTAATTACAACACAAGATTATATGTAACAACAGCTCTGGGAATGTGCCACCCTAACCTCATTTTCTATCCTACATGTCTGACTCACCCATGTTTTCTTTTTAATGTTGTTTTACCCCCAAATGCTTTAGAGGCAAGGCCTTAAGCTCTACTTTTAATTTGGACTTTCTACCATGGTAATGTCAACTGGAACTTCCTTTTGCTGTCTGAAAATTCTCTTAAAGGTAAAAATTGGTACCTTTCCACCCTCCTACCTTTGTTTTTTGGAGGAGAGAGAAATGTAGATCTGTGAACAGGAGCATAATTATTGTGGGCAAATGCTATTCAAATGTCATTGTCTCCCCAGAGAAATTAAACTGATAAAGTAAAATCTTACTAATCTCTGATGACAAGGACTAGGAGTGGAATAACATAAGAGAGTAAAAGAACAACCATAAGTGAAAACAAACGTGTCACCCCTCTACCAAGATTAAAGTTAAGTCCCCACTTTCTCCGTGATCCTCACCCCCCACCCCCAGCTCGCAGCCCCCAGGGATTGCCCACCGGCTTGCTGGCTGGCGGCGTTAGACGTTAGCCTGGACTCCTTGTTGTGCCTTTTAGGGTGTTATCCCTGTCGCAGACTTGCATTCTGCCCCTGCAAGTCCTGGACGCCTGCTGGACTAGCGATGAAGGCTTTAGCCACTGAGTGCAGGGGTTAATGATATTCGCATTGGTGTGTGCCTGGCAGGTGTGAGGGTTGTTTCGAGTATTTCGTGTCAGTTCAGTGCTGCAACCTCGCCCACGTCAACGTTTCCCTTAGTGGGAAAGGAAGGTGGAAGAAGGGGATGGGCTTGAGACCAACTCGCTACTGCCAATTTGGACGAAGGAAGTTACAGCTTCCTTGGGAGACCTGTGTAATGAAGCCTCTTTGCCATCGAAGTCTTTGTAGCTATACTGGACAGTCGGTTACAATCCAAGGACCGTGAACCCAATAAGCTGAACTTCCCTCAGCTTTCGGCAAGAACAGGCACCTGGGATGGGGAAAGATTTGGAAATGGAACCGGCAAGCGCCAGTGGCTGAACATCGGGACAATCATAACTGTCCTCTCACTTCATTTACCCGTTGAGCTTTCCGTGCATCTGTTTTTCCATCTGGGCAACTACAAAGGTGGATCCTGGTCTTTGTAGCTCATATGCGCACTGTCCGTGCTCTCAGTCTCTGGATTGATCAGGGAATGGTGAAAACCGGCCCCCTAGGGGAGGTTTGGTTCCCAGCGCTACATGCAGTTGAATTTGAGCCTAGGCGCAAACGAGGGAGGTACTTAACGCGCCAGCCAGCTACGCAGGGGGTTTCTCAGCTGAACTCTCCTGGGAGGGCCCTTTGGCGTAAGAGGGCGGACAGATCAAGAGTAGAGAGAAGGAGGGAAAAGTGCGGGAATAGATTACTCACCAGTCACCTGCACCGTTTTGCGCATCCATGCATAGGGGCTGTGACGGCTTCTGCTGGGAGAACTGGTGTCCGCGGTGCCGGAGTCGATGGACACCAGTGACCCGCTGGCCAGGGCTGGCAGACTACCGCTGCCGCTTCCGCCGCCAGTGGGGCCCAGGTTGCTGTAGTCTAGAGAGCCGAAAGCTGGGGAGTTCGAGGTCATGTCGTTCATGGGCACTGTGCCCATTGTATTGGACGGCCCGGGGTATGTACTCCAGTCTTCTCCGGGCGGACTGTAGGGTGAGCTCCAGGCCCCCAGCAATGGTCCATGAGGATTCATGCTGGGCATATGAGGATACCCCAGATAGTGCGGGTAAGACGGAGCAGCAGCGAAGTTGGAGACTGGCAGGGGACTCCCACCACCCCCAGAGGTGCCTACCCCGGCTGTGCTGCTTCCTCCAGGGCTCCTAAGAGTGCCTGGGTACATGCCTGCTTCTTTCTCCAAAAGGCAGCTTCCATACATGGTGGTTTGTGTAGAAAAAGTTGGCCCCTAAGCCATCCTGAGGTCCCTACCAGACTTTGAGATGAGACAGAGAATCAACTGGTCAGCGCGTAGCTGCGCAGCAAGCTCCTCTCTGAGCCTCAGACTACTTCATCGCTCGGTTCCTTCCCAGACGGTTTCCAGGTGACTGGTAGCCGGGTTGTAGAAAGGCCATCAGTGACTGGGCTGACGTCAAGGGGCTTCAGGCTTTTACATAGCATTTGCATCCAAATGAAGGGCCAGTTCACTTTCACAGGAACGTGTTCATTCTATTCATCCTCTCCCAGAGCTCCCAGCCTTGGATCATCAGCACACCAGCACTTTTGGAGGCGGTAGTTCCCCAAGGGATTTCTGACCAGTTCATCCAAAATGAGATTGAGGATAGGAAGCAGGCAAAATCCTGCTGTCCTAATATTGAGGCCTCCCTTTCACTGATCTTCCTGAGGCCAGCCTGAACCCTCTCTGTTCCCACACTTCCTGGTAGGGATTGGGATTTTCCACCTGACACTGACCCATGATGGCATTGTAAAGGAGGAGGGCTTTGTTTCCAAGGACAGATATTTGTTTCACAACTTTATATTCAACATCTACAGTGTGTCAGGGACTGTTGTAGGCACTGGGGATTACAGCAGTAAGAGACAAAATTTTCTATTTTGCCTTCCTAAAGTTATACTCCAGGAGATGACGCGTTGAGTTAGTTGGATGTTTGACAAATATGCAGAAATTAAAGAATGATGAAAATATAGGCTAAGAAAAAGGGAAGCAGAGAGAAAAGGGGGAGAGAGGGGGAAAGAAACAGTGTGGATAGTGGATTCTCCTAATTGCGTCTTAATATGCTCAACTTAAGTATGTCCTTCTGGGAAGCATCACTTCTGCCCCAAAGTTGGTGCCCCAAGGGGCCAGAGTTCTTGCAGTCTGAAATCCATGGCAGCTCCAGCAGACTTGTGATTTCCTTTCAAAAACACAAACCAGGTAAGCTCTTTACCACTGCTCTATATCCCCCAGACTCTGTCACCCTTTTAAAATAGAAATCCTAATTGTATCTACTACATAAAGCAGGATTCACTGAGACAAAGGATAGGAATGGCTTGACTCGTGCTTCCTACAACTATGAGATGACTACAGTCATTAATTTACTCAACAAACACCTTTTTCATAGCATTCTTGATCAGGGTTTCACTCAAGCAAGCTGTCCTGAATTATTTCATCTTTATGGAATAAAACCGATTTTAATAGTTTGTATAGCAGACTTACTTTCTTCTGTGGTAAGCTTCAATTTTGCTGGTTGGTTTCTTTGTAGCTGCAGATTTTTCCCCAAAGGTCTTTTTAGGTTCCTAACACCAACAGTTTTCTTTCTTTTTTATCTCTCTACCAACTTGTGACCTGCAGACCCCTTCTAGGCACTGCCTTCTCTGCACCCCATTTTCTGTGCCTTCTTTGCAGCCCCTGCTTTGCACACCTTTTTTTCACCCCTCTCTGCACCACATTTTCTGTACTCTCTGTACTGCTTTCTTTGAACTCCTTCTCTAACTAGCCCCTTCTCTACAGCCCGCTTCCCATCTGATTTGGCTTTTCTGCCACCACCACTTTCTTTATCTGGACTTTGTAATTTATGACTTGCTGAACAATGGTGTTCTGTGGCTGGATCTCTGATAATGGGTTTAGCTGCACCATAATTTGCAAGTTCTTCAGGAGATTCATGTTCAGGAGTCTGATGAATCCTCTTGGTTGGTACTTGAAGGGCTCTTTGTATCTCTGGGTTTTCAAGATTCTGTTGAGGTCTGCATTATTCATGTTGTACATGTGGAAGTTATAGTTACTCTTAAGGAAAACAGTTTTATACCAAGTGGCATACAATTCATCTGACATCCAGAAAGCACTTTTAAGTCCAAATGCAGAAATGTCTTCCATGCTTACTAGCAGCAAGTTTCAAAATGTTCAGTTTGCTTACACTAGGCAGAGCAATTCTAGGGATGTTTTCAAAGGCTTTAATGGTGCTGTTGCCTTCATTAAAGATGATGCAGGGGACCCTGCACTGGATACATTAATGATTTCTCATTTTGCTCTTGACAGCTCTCACTTGTTGAAAAGCATAGGCCTTTTTGATGTTATTCCAGATTTTAAATTTCTAAAGAAACACACTAACCTCCTCATCTTCAACCAACAAAGGAAGTTAAGGAACTTCCTTAGTATGATGAATTTACACATGAGCAGTGCTGGCAAAGCTGAGGCAGCCAGGGAAAATCAGACGGCATAGAGTTTTGAGTTCTGTTCATTCTATCATGCCAATGATGCCAACTGTTGATTGTGGCACACATGTGACTTTTTCAACAAGTATTTCCAAAAGCATCCAGGCCGGAATGATGGGTACCATCACTTCAACACCAGGGATTCCAGCCACAGCTCTGTCAGTACCTCAGGACTCAGCACTAGTGTGATTGACTGCTAATTCACTGACAGTAGAAGGTTGCGTATTGGTTTATGCAGGTTTGTGTGAAGAACATTCATAGTATCTGTTTGAATGGGAGCTTTGAACATAGCAGGCATAGTCATATTTTTATACCCTTTCAGGGTAAAGTGATATGAGGGAACAAAGGCATGCATTAGGGGACAGGAAGGACATGAAGATAGATGTGGTCTCAAGAAAACTCTTATCCAGGTGCTTCCCTCCCTTCAGGCTTAGGTACCAAAGGATTCAGTTTCCAGCAGAACTCAAGGTTTTAATCTAATATATATATATATCTTGTGCGTGCAGGTACACATAGAGGCTAGATGAGAGTGTCAGATCCCCTGGAGTAACTGAAGGTAAAGGAGGTTATTAGCAGCCTAATATGGGTGTTGGAAACTGACCTCACGTCCTCTGAAAGAGGAACAAGTGTTCCTAAACATTGAGCCATTTCTCCAGTCCCAGAACTCAAGTTTTTTAAGATCCCAAGGAACCTAGAATCCTAAGAATGACCAGCATGCTCTCCTCCTGGGTTGCTTCAAAGCACAGAAGCCTACATTGCCTTTAAGATGACTCATACTGTCACACAAGCCAGCACCCCACCAGAAAACAGATGTTTTTGATCTTCATCTCCTTGATTTTTCTCCAGCAGATTTTGTGGTCTGAACATTTCATTCTACCAACTGGTCCCAGGATCAGGTCAAAGCAGTGAAGACTTCTACTATCCATAGTGGGGAGAACAGAAGAACAAACATTTATTGAGGACTAAGTACTGTACTGTATGTGGAGATGTCAGTAGTAAATAAAGCTTCTGACTTTATTAAGCTTGTATTCTATTTTTGATATTTTTACATTGATTTACATTTACTTTGAACACGTGCATGAGTGTGTGTGTGTGTGTGTGTGTGTGTGTGTGTGTGTGTGTAGGTCAGAGAAAAACTTGCAGGAGTCAGTTCTCACCTTCCATCACGTAGGTCCTGGGGATCGAACTCAGATTTTCAGGCTTGGCAGCAAGTGCCTTTATTAGCTAAATCATCTTGTCAAGCCCTTACCTTGTATTTTAATGGAACATTATTAAGTAATTAATTTTTATGGTATGTCAAACAGTAATAACATCTGTGAAGAAAAAGAATGTGAAAGATGATAGGGAATGCAGGAGAGGTGCGGCAATCTTAAATGTAATGGTCTCCAGGAACTTCATTTAGAAATAACATTTAAGTAAATTATAAGAATTGATGGATCATGTCATGAAGAGAGGATAAAGAGAGCAAGTTTATCTTCTGTTGGAGAAATAGTAAGGAAAACCTTGTGATTAAAGAGTAGATAAGGTACATATGCAGAGGGAAAGTAAGACTGTAAAGATTCTAGGTTTTGCTCTAAATGAAGTAGAGACACTGTAGGGTTTTGAGCAGATGAGTGCCATGGTGCACATCTCTGCACTTGACTGAAAGCTGGACATGGTAGACTATATCTACAAGTAATCTGAGTATTTGGGAGGTAGAAGCAGAAAGATTGGTCTTTCTTTTTAAAAATATTTTTATTGATTCTTCAAAAATTTCATGCATTGTATTTTGATCACATTCAGACACCCTGCCTCATCTTCACCTTGACCTTACTACCCCCAATTCATGTCCTCTATTGTTCTTTTTTTAGAGGATTATCAAGTCTAGTCTGTGTTTCCCAAATGCTCTTGAGGGTGGGTCTATCCTTTGGGGTCTGTTCACCCTGCCAGACATCACACCAGTAAAGAAAACTGAGTCTTCCTTTCCTAGCAGCTATCAATTGCCAATACATATTCAGCTAGGGCTAGAGAGTGACCATTTCCCCCATTAATGCTTAGTTTTTGTGTGGCTTGGGTTTGTACAGGTCTTATACATGCTGTTACAAGTGCTGTGGTTCATATGTGCAACTACCCTATTGTGTCTATACAGTTTTCTTGTATTTTTCCTTGTATTCCTTGTATTGCTTTGTATTCCTCTGACTCTTACAATCTTTTTGTCCCCTCATCTGCAATGATCCCTGAGTCTTGGGAGGAGAGCATGTGATATGGGTGTCCCATTTAGGGATGAGCACTCCACACACAATGATTAGTTGTGGACCTCTGTGTTAATCACTATCTGCTGAAAGAAACTTTTCTGGTGACAGTTGAGACATAGGCATAACAATAAATCATTAAGAATCAATTTAATATGATGTCTACTTAGCAGAATAATAGTAGTGGGTATTTAGCAGAATAATAGTAGTAGCTTCTCCCATTCTCTCCTATATGGCCTGTGACCTATATAACCACAGGTTCTTGGCCATGATAGCAGTCATGATAACAGTGCCAGGTATGGACTTCATCTTGTGAAGTTGCCCTTAATCAAATAAAAACGTGGTTAGTTTCTTCCATAATATTTGTGCCACTATTGCACTGGTGGGCATATCTTGCCAGGATAGCCATTATTGTAGCTCACAGGGTTCATAGCTAGGTGAGGCTGATGATTACCTTTCTCTCCCAATAACAATCAAAGTATCTTCTAGTACTATGAAAGTT